TAGTACTTATAAATTAAATGATGTAGAACTTAGCCATACAGATTGCGAAAAGGACTTGGGGGTTATGGTGAGCAGCAACCTTAAACCAAGACAGCAATGCCTAAGCGTACGTAATAAGGCAAATAGATTACTGGGATTTATATCAAGAAGTGTAAGCAACAGAAGTCCAGAGGTCATACTGCAGCTTTATACATCATTAGTAAGGCCTCACCTTGATTATGCAGCTCAGTTTCTGGTCTCCGTATTACAAAATGGACATAAATTCGTTAGAAAACATTCAGCGTAGGATGACTAAATTAATACATAGCATCAGAAATCTTCCTTATGAAGAAAGATTGAAGACTCTTAAGTTACATTCACTTGTTAGACGAAGAATGAGGGGAGACCTGATCGAAGTGTATAAGTGGAAGATAGGTATTAATAAAGGGGATATTAATAAGGTCTTGAGGATGTCTCTCCAAGAGAGAACCCGCAGTAATGGATTTAAATTAGATAAGTTTAGATTTAGAAAGGACATAGGAAAGTATTGGTTTGGAAATAGGGTAGTTGATGAGTGGAACAGTCTACCTAGTTGGGTTATTGAGGCTAGGACTTTGGGTAGTTTCAAATCTAGGTTGGATAAGTACATGAGTGGGAAGGGTTGGATTTGAGTGGGACTTTCACATCAGAGCTTATTTCTTGGGTAGCATTGAAAATTGGGTTGGGTAAATGTTTTGTTAGTGGGATGAATTGTAAAGGACCTGCCTAGTATGGGCCAGCAGGCCTCCTGCAGTGTTCCTCCTTTCTTATGTTCTTAAGTAGAAGTAGCAAGACATACCTGAAATCTTGCATGTTCATGAGACAGAAAAAAGGACACCAGCAATCCTACCATCATGTAAAACAGTTACAGGCTTTCGTTTTACACTCACTTGGCAGGACGGTAGTACCTCCCTGGGCGGTTGCTGTCTACCAACCTACTACCTATAATTATTATTATTATATTATTATAATTATTATTTTTTCTCTCATTTGTTTGTTGGGCTATCTTATTGAAACTTGGGCAATGTATGATGGGAAAATGCTTCTTAACGTACACCAAAAATGAAAGAAATCAGACCATAAATAACGGAGTTCACTTTTCAGCCGTTAGCAGCCTCATAGTGGACCCTCGACCAGCGATATTAATCCATTCCTGAGAGCTCATCATTAGTCAGAATTATCGTTAGTCAAGTTAATTTTCCCCATAAGAAATAATGGAAATCAAATTAATCCGTGCAAGACACCCAAAAGTATTGAAAAAAAAAAATTTTTACCACATGAAATATTAATTTTAATACACACAAACTGAAGATTACATGCACAGTTACATGACACTTACCTTTATTGAAGATCTGGTGATGATTGATGGGATGGGAGGAGGGGAGAGGTGTTAGTGTTTAGAAGGGGAATCCCCTTCCATTAGCACTTGAGGCAGCAAGTCTTTTTCTGGGGTTACTTCCCTTGTTCTTTTAATGCCACTAGGACCAGCTTCAGAGTCACTGGACTTCTGTCGCACAACATATCTGTCCATAGAGGCCTGTACCTCTCGTTCCTTTATGACTTTCCTAAAGTGGTTCACAACAGTGTCAGTGTAATAGTCACCAGCACGGCTTGCAGTAGTTGTGTCAGGGTGATTTTCATCAAAAAAGGTTTGCACTTCAAGCCACATTGCACACATTTCCTTTATCTTAGAAGTAGGCAACTTCTTCAATTTCTCTCTCCCCTCCTCCGAAGCAGTTTCCTCAGGTGTGCCCTCTTGCTGTTGAAGATGATCTAGCAGCTCATCAGTGGTTAGTTCTTCACTGTCCTCCACCACCAACTCTTCCACATCCTCCCCACTAACCTGCAACCCCAAGGACTTCCCCAATGCCACAATGGATTCCTCACTTGGCATAGGATTCTCAGGGTTAGCCTCAAACCCTTCAAAATCCCTTTTGTCTACACATTCTGGCCACAGTTTTTTCCAAGCAGAGTTCAATGTCCTCTTAGTCACTTCCTCCCAAGCCTTACCTATAATATTTACACAATTGAGGATGGTAAAATGATCTTCCCAAAACTCTCTTAGAGTCAGTTGAGTTTCTGAGGTCACTACAATGCACCTTTCAAACACAGCTTTTGTGTACAGTTTCTTGAAGTTGGAAATAACCTGCTGGTCCATGGGCTGCAGGAGAGGAGTGGTATTAGGAGGCAAAAACTTCACCTTAATGAAGCTCATGTCCCTAGAAAGTCGCTCTGCCAAGTCTGAAGGATGACCAGGAGCATTGTCTAATACCAGGAGGCACTTAAGGTCTAATTTCTTTTCAATTAGGTAATTTTTCACATTGGGGGCAAATGCATGATGTAACCAGTCATAGAAAAAATCCCTAGTGACCCATGCCTTACTGTTTGCCCTCCACAGCACACAAATTAGCCTTGAGGACATTGTTTTTCCTGAACACTCTGGGAGTTTCAGAGTGATACACCAATAAAGGCTTCACTTTGCAATCACCACTAGCATTGGCACACATCAACAGAGTAAACCTGTCTTTCATAGGCTTATGTCCTGGGAGTGCCTTTTCCTCCTGAGTAATGTACATCCTGCTTGGCATTTTCTTCCAAAACAGGCCTGTTTTGTCACAATTAAACACTTGTTCAGGTTTCAGTCCTTCACTGTCTATGTACTCCTTGAAGTCCTGCACATATTTTTCAGCCGATTTGTGGTCTGAACTGGCAGCCTCACCATGCCTTTTCACACTATGAATGCCAATACGCTTCTTAAATCTCTCAAACCAACCTTTGCTGGCCTTAAATTCACTCACATCACTAGTTGCTGGCATTTTTGTAATTAAATCGTCATGCAACTTCCTAGCCTTTTCACATATGATCGCTTGAGAGATGCTGTCTCCTGCTATCTGTTTCTCGTTTATCCACACCAATAAAAGTCTCTCAACATCTTCTATCACTTGCGATCTCAGTTTCGAAAACATAGTTGCACCTTTGGCAAGAACAGCTTCCTTGATTGCCGTTTTCTTGCCCACAATAGTAGCGATGGTTGATTGGGGTTTATTATACAACCTGACCAGCTCAGAGATACGCACTCCACTTTCATATTTATCAATGATCTCTTTCTTCATCTCTATAGTAATTCTCACCCTTTTTGCTGTAGGGTTGGCACTAGAAGCTTTCTTGGGGCCCATGGTGACTTATTTTGCAGGTGCAATCACTAAAAAGGCTGTGATAATATGAAATGTTCCAGTTGTATAAACCATACCCCCGGCCGGGATTGAACCCGCGGTCATAGAGTCTCAAAACTCCAGCCCGTCGCGTTAGCCACTAGACCAGCTAGCCACAATAAGATTCATCCAACTAGGTATATTTCTACACCATAGGAAAGTTAGCACAGGCACCTCTGTGACCACAAATGCAAGTTTTTACAGACGAATCTCCAGCTAGCGTGGCCGTGACGAACTCTAGCTCAAGTCCCTTCACTGCCGTCACCATGACTCAAGACTCTATGACCGCGGGTTCAATCCCGGCCGGGGGTATGGTTTATTTGCAATCGTGTCATTACGATTTCTTGAGTCATGCTTCCAGTTGTATGTTTGGAAGCGACCGCGGTGGCTGGCTGGCTTGTAAACACTGGCACCGAAGGGGCAAGTGAGGTGCGCTCAGGCCAAAGTGGACGCGTATGGTACGGAACGAATAGCACTGGTCGGGTTTTTAAGCGCTAGTCGAGGCAAAATTTTTGCGTTAAAATGTATCGCTAGTCAGATTTATCGTTAATCGATGCCATCGTTGGTCGAGGGTCCACTGTATTTTCGTATGGGTTTTATGGTTGTATTCCCTTTTTTTTTTTTTTTGGTCTCATTTGATAGAATGGAAGATATATTACAGAAATAGATGTGATTTTGATTGCTTTCACGATGAAAAGTACCTTGAAATTGAGCTCAGAGTAGCGGAAATGTTCTATTCTTTAGTGATGTTCAAGAGTAAACAAATGACATCACTTTCCAATACCTGACTGCCTGCCAGTCCAAATTCCAATGTGTAGTCAAGAATAGGTTGACATTACTTATACAGTTACTACAATAATGCAGTAGTCTGCATAACAGTAAATCCTCTATTTTTTGTGTGAATAAAAATTTCTGGGGCCTTTAGTAGTAACTAATAAACAGAGAGAATGTTATTTTAGTGGCAGGAATGTCTGCATCGTTTATTCTGGACCCTGTTTTGAAATTGGCATCTGTTGAAATTTGTTTGATATTGGCCAAATTGCCAATTTCTGACCACTTTATTGGGTAGTTGAAATAGGTGAATGGGCAGTTTCTTGTACTCAGTCAACAGAATAGAAGTAAGTAAATAAGTATGTTTATTCAGGTATACACAAATACAGTTACACAGATTATCATACATAGCAGTGTATGTATAGAGAACCTGGGATAACCCAAAAAAGTCAGACACAGTGACATATTACCAGTACCTGGCTTGGGCTTGCCATATGTGATTTTTGGTAAATATTTTTTTTTCTCAGATGTTTGTTGGACTGTCTTATTGAAACTTGGGCAGTGTATGATGGAAGGATGCTTCTTAATGTAACCCCCCCCCTAAAAAAAAAAAAAGACATTAGTCACCTCTTTGATGTATATTTTCGTATGATTTTTATCATTGTATTCTCGTTTTTTTGGTCTCATTTGATAGAATGGAAGATATATTGCAGAAATAGATATGATTTTGATTGGCTTTACGATGAAAAGTACATTGAAGTTGAGCACAAAGTAGCGGAAGTGTTCGATTTTTGCCGATGTTCAATGAACTTTTTTGTGTAAGTCAAGTTGCTTAATTTTATTAAGTGTATTCTAACCTAACCACTCTGTAATCTGGCAAACTCAGTAATATGGCACACTACAGGTCCCAATGATGCCAGATTTGTGATGGCAAACCTGTACTTTAAAAAAAATTGCAGTCACTAAATGAATTAACCCCTTAATTCACTTAATTTAAAGGTTGACCCACTGCAGCCAGACACGTAGGCACCATACAAGGAACAAGTATCTGTTTGACATACCACATGTTCGACTTGACCTGTTTAGTGGCTCCATACAAATTAAAGGCAATAAAATATGGAACTCGCTACCTGAAGATACAAAAAGTTCCATATCTGCCAACTACTTTAAAACTCTTGTTAAAAAAAAACACTCATTAACTTCATGTGATTGTGCATTAGTTGATTGTTATTATTTATTAATGTCTAAATGCCTACTGTAATTTGTTTACCAGATCTACTTAACATTCATTCTTGTATATTGCTGTCACTACTGTTTTTTTTTATCTAATTACACTGGCCAACAAAGGTTTCAGTTTATGTTTAAAAATGTGTTTCAGACTAATTCAAATCTGAATTTAGTTTTCTTCTAACACATACAGTTTCTGTGAAATAAAATCCCATAATGAACAATTTCATTAAGGCATAGCTATCATGGAGAAGGGATAAGAGATATCAGGGAAACCTGATGATCAGTTTGATGGGTGACTACTGCTGGGCACTGGTGCAGGAAAGCAATTCAGAACACAGGCGAGAAAGCCTGAGAACTGTGATGTAAATGTTCATATGACTGTATGGAAATTTCTTTTATTTTTATTATGCATATACTGTACTGTATATATAATGAATTTATGTTAAGATTAGTTTGTCACTGCATGTAGCACAATATCTATGCATAATATAATACCAGTGATTGTTAGGGAACATATATCATGTGGTTCTTCAACATTAATTGTCAAAATATTTATCATAAGATTTAAAAAAAAAATGCTTATGTGATAAAGGCTAAACTAGCTCAAATTTGTCATCAGCTCATCTAAGTTAGCCTAAAAGAAACAGTTTGGTTTCTGAGCTAGTTAAAAAGTTAATTAACTGGTTAAAAAGTATTAATGTAACCACTGTAACCAAAATGTATCAGTCCAGTCTACATTATTTCTACATACAGTAGTCCCCCTGTATCCACAGGGCATATGTTCCAAGACCTGCCATGGATACCCGAAACTGCGGATAGTAGCAAACCCTGTATATACATATGTTTAATTGATAAATTATTTATCAATTAAACTTTAACATACATATGTTAAAGTTTAATTGATAAATTATTCACAATAAGTTGAGAATTAGCACTTTTTCACTGATAGGAAGCAGTTCACAGCTTCTTTTATGCTTTGAAGAACTGTCATCACCACTACTTTTGTGCTTTGGTGCCATCATTAAGTAAAATTAAGGCTTATTTTTGAGCCACGGTAAACCGTGGATAACTGAAACAGCAGAAACTGAATCCATGGATACTGGATGGGGGGGGGGGTCTGCTGTATGTTGTATCAAACTTAGAATTCAAATAATCTAAACCTTACCTATGCATCGTATAGCTTTTTAATTTTAAGTCCTGTTGGTGAGATATACTTAGGATGCTGAAGTGCTTTGCATATTCAGTGGCTTTCCAGTTAGCTTGCACTCATTTCCACTCTTTATTTGTAACTATAATGTGTTTTTATGGAAATAATATTTTTCATTTAGCTGTTGCAAAATTTTGATTTTTTTCTCTTGTTTGTAGTTTGAGATGGCCTGTTTTTCTAAATAAAACTGTGAAGAGAAAACTTAAATTAAATAAAACTTACAGTTTATATGGTGTATTGAAGTTTGTGAAAAATTATCACTCATCAGCAACAGCTTCATAAATGTGAGTAGCAGTATTTGTTTTATAATTTGTTGATGTCAGTTTATGATTTATTTTTCAATGTCTAACTGTATTTACACTATTCTTTTAAGACATTAGAGGATTTTAAAGTTAAAGTGCTTTAGTACTCAAAACATGTTTTTATGATAATGTGACAAAGAAAAGATGCATCTCTGCAACAGCAGTGTCTTTCCACTGATGAAGCCAAGATTTCACTGCAACTGTATTAGTGAATATGTATTTGTAATAATTGTTTGTCAGAGCCACAGTACTTTCACAGGTGTCTCATCAAACAGTAAATTCAAATAATTAAGTTAGAATCTTAAGCTTTTATTTAGATTTTTCATACTTAGAATACTCGTACAAAAATTTGTTTCTACAATGGTGTTGAGGGCACAAATATTTTTTTTTTTTTTAACAAGTTGGCCGTCTCCCACCGAGGCAGGGTGACCCAAAAAAGAAAGAAAATCCCCAAAAAGAAAATACTTTCATCATCATTCAACACTTTCACCTCACTCACACATAATCACTGTTTTTGCAGAGGTGCTCAGAACACAACAGTTTAGAAGCATATACGTATAAAGATGCACAACATATTTCTCCAAGCTGCTAATATCCCGAACCTTTCCTTTAGAGTGCAGGCACTGTACTTCCCATTTCCAGGACTCAAGTCCAGCTATATAAAAATAACTGGTTTCCCTGAATCCCTTCACTAAATATTACCCTGCTCACACTCCAACAGATCATCAGGTCCCAAATACCATTCATCTGCATTCACTCCTATCGAATACGCTCATGCACACCTGCTGGAAGTCCAAGCCCCTCGCCCACAAAACTTCCCTTACCCCTTCCTTCCAACCTTTTCGAGGACAACCCCTACACCGCCTTCCTTCCCCTACAGATTTATACGCTCTCCAAGTATTATGGGTGCATAAAAAGTACTATGTATATTTAACCTAGGATAACTCAGTAAAGTCAACAATATGACTTAGTGTTTCCCCTCTTTTTGAACAGTTTGTCTGAATTCTAGCTAGTATTATCAAATTGTAATAAATTTGCAACAGATATCGTATCCTCCCACTTCCAAACTATTTGTTGATTCAGGTGTCCCCTTGGAACAAAATCCACTTGCCTACTTGTGTTCATATCCTAATGGGGTAGTGTTATCCATGATGCACTGCATGGACCCACTCACAGTTAAAGAGTTCTTTCTTTCTTTCAACACACCGGCCGTATCCCACCAAGGCGGGGTGGCCCAAAAGGAAAAACGAAAGTTTCTCCTTTTACATTTAGTAATATATACAGGAGAAGTGGTTACTAGCCCCTTGCTCCCGGCATTTTAGTCGCCTCTTACAACACGCATGGCTTACGGAGGAAGAATTCTGTTCCACTTCCCCATGGAGGTAAGAGGAAATAAACAAGAACAAGAACTAGTAAGAAAAATGGAAGAAAACCCAGAGGGGTGTGTATATACATATATGCTTGTACATGTATGTGTAGTGTGACCTAAGTGTAAGTAGAAGTAGCAAGACGTACCTGAAACCTTGCATGTTTATGAGACAGAAAAATGGACAGCAGCAATCCTACCATCATGTAAAACAATTACAGGTTTCCGTTTTACACTCACTTGGCAGGACGGTAGTACCTCCCTGGGTGAGTGCTGTCTACCAACCTACTACCTAGGAGTTAAAGAGTTATTAGTATTATTTTTATTATAATCAGTTCAAGTGCTAAACCCATGAAGGTCATACACCGCTTCTGGAAGATACGTAAAAAAGCACAAATGTGCGAAGGTTAAGAGTAAGTGAGAGGTAGGGGTGTGTGAAGTTAGGGGCTAATGGAAGTGAAGGTTAGTGCAGGAGTAAATTTAAAATCAAAGATGGTGCAATAGGCAATAAAACCACAACATTAACACCCCTCCTTCAGAGTGCAGGCACTGTACTTCCCATCTCCAGGACTCAATTCTGGCCTGCTGGTTTCCCTGAATTCCTTCATAAATATTACCCTGCTCACATCCAACAGCATGTCAAATCCTAAAAACCATTTGTTTCTATTTGCTCCTGTCTAACATGCTCACGCATGCTTTCTGGAAGTCAAAGCCCCTCACACAAACAGCCTCCTTTACCCCCTCCCTCCAACCTTTCCTAGGCCGACTTCTACCCCCGCCTTCCCTCCACTACAGATTTATACACTCTCGAAGTCATTCCGTTTCGTCCCACCCTCTACATGTAAGAACCACCTCATCAAACCCTCCTCAGCCCTCTGGATAATAATTTTTGTAATCCCACACCTCCTAATTTCCAAACTACGAATTCTCTGCATTATATTCACACCACACATTGCCCTCAGACACGACATCTCCACTGCCTCCAGTCTTCTCCTTGTTGCAGTATTCACCATCCATGTTTCACACCCATATAAGAGCATTGGTATAACTATACTCTCATACATTCCCCTCTTTGCTTCCATGTGCAAAGCTCTTTGTCTCCACAGACTCCTCAGTGCACCACTCACCTTTTTCCCCTTGTCAATTCTACGATTAACCTCTTCTTTCATAGACCCATATGCTGACATGTCCACTCCTAAATATCTGAATACATTCACCTCCATACTTTCTCCCTCCAACCTGATATCCAATCTTTCATTACCTATTTTTTTTGTTATACTCATCACCTTACTTTTTCTTGCATTCACTTTAATTTTCTTCTTTTACATACCCTACCAAACTCATCCACCAACCTCTTCAACTTCTCTTCAGAATCTCCCAAAAAGCACAGTGTCAGAATCTCCCAAAAGCACAGTGTCATCAGCAAAGAGCAATTGTGACAACTCCCAAACCTCTTGCCAACACCCCATCTGTAAATATATTGAACAACCATGGTGACATCACACATCCTTGTCTAAGTCCTACTTTTACTGGGAAATAGTCTCCCTCTCTCCTACATACTATAACCTGAGCCTCACTATCCTTGTAAAAACTTTTCATTTGCTTTCAATAACCTACCTTCTATTTCATACATTTGCAACATCTGCCACATTGCCCCCCAATCTACCCTGTCATATGCCTTTTCCAAATCCATAAATGCCACAAAAACCTCTCTACCCCTATCTAAATACTGTTCACCTATATGTTTCACTGTAAAGACTTGGTCTACACACCCTCTACCCTTCCTAAAGCCTCCTTGTTCATCTGCTATCCTGCTCTCTGTCTTACTCTTAATTCTTTCAATAATAACTCCACCATACACTTTACCAGGTATACTCAACAGACTTTTCCCCTATAATTTCTGCATTCTCTTTTGTCCCCTTTCCCTTTATACAAATAAACTATGCACTAGGTACCTTACCCTCTTCCATACATTTATTAAATAAAAGCACCAACCACTCCGAAACTATATCACCACCTGCTTTTAACATTTCTATCTTTATCCCATCAATTCCAGCTGCCTTACCCCCTTTCATTCTACCCACTGCCTCATGAACTTCCCCCACACTCACAACTTGCTCCTCCTCATTCCTACAATATGTTATTCCTCTCTGCCATATACACGAAATCACAGCTTCCCTATCTTCATCAGCGCTTAACGATTCCTCAAAATATTCCCTCCATCTTCCTGATACCTCTAACTCTCCATTTAATAACTTTTTTCTCCTATTTTTAACAGTCAAATCTATTTGTTCCCCAGGCTTCCTCAACTTATTAATCTCACTCCAGAAGTTTTTCTTATTTTCAACAGTATTTGTTGATAACATCTCACTCACTCTCTCATAGATCTTAATATGATTAGCACAGTACTAAAACTAAAATTCAACATGAAAGATGCAGTATGCTTTATGTAGTTAATGTAGTTCCATATTAAATTTAGGTGTACAGTAGCGAGATTTAATTAGTTAGTGCCTCACCTTGTTATAATATTCTTTCAACACCAACTCAACTTTCTAGTCACAACAGAGATTAGGGAATTCAAAACAAAACAGCTTGTGTACAAAATGAATAGCTGATGAGCAGAATGAACTCTAGGTGGTATGCCCAGTTGTTACAGTTTTAACCCTTTCACTGTCGCAACCACCGAAAGTAAAAGTGCTGATAGGTCATGATTTTAAAAAGTCAATGGTCTGAGTGCAATTTACATCGGTGACTTTGTCCTATTTGAATCCTATTTTAACAGAATTTCAATGCTCGTTTAGATTTAATTTCCAGCTATTTCACTAGTATGCCTTCCATTCCATCAAATGTGCACAAGAAACAACCCTTCAATTAACAGAAATATTTGTAATGTGGACAGAATTCAGTAATTTGGCTAGTTTTAAACAAAAAAAAAATCCAGTATAAAAAGAGTCCAAAATAGGCATGCCAGCCATTGAAGCAACATTTCCTCTGCTTATTAATCATATCCCTAGGCCTATATAGCACTTAGCCTCCATTTTAAATCCATCATTACACAGAAACATTGAAGCTTTGCCTTATTTCTCAGATAAAATATAACAAAAAATGATTGCTTATGGTTTAGGCTGTCCCAATAATTGAAACTGACCTAGTGAAAACCCATAAAACAGACCAGGGGTTACCCTTCCTCAGGAAACTAGCCAAAACTTAAATATTTCCACTACTTTGAGCCCTATTTCAAGCTACTTCCAGTCTGAAACTGACCAAAATCATGGCTGTTTCACTAGTATGTCTTCCATTATGTCACTTGATACCAAGAAACAGCCAATAAAGTCATAAAAAAAACTCTAGAAAACACCTCAAAGTTGCTATTTTAAGTGAGACATAAGGTCAGAAGTATGCTTTTCCCATCACACGTTGCATTGGGTGGAGTTTTTTTTATACTGTGCCTACTCACTGCACAGACCTATTCTCACACTGAGGTCAAAATTTACTGCTCTCAGCATATTTGAGGGAGATGTGCTTTAAACATAGATCAATGTGAATGACACTGGTGTCAGTGACATGAATCTCTGTGGGAGAAAGTGAAAGGGCTAAAATAATTATATTAGAGTTG